TGCTAATTTCTCTTTTTTTACACTTACTCTTAGTCTGTCTTTTTCTCTTTTCCCGTCTTTCCCAGTTTTGTTCCTTGGTTACAGTTAACATACACCTTGGTGGCCACTTTTCTAGACTAGGTGGTATTCATGTCTGCAGCTTCTGCTTGATGTTACTATGGGCTTGCTTTACAAATGAAGTATTCACTATATACTGATTTTCAGCAGCCTCAGGGTTAAATGGGGTGTACAGCCAGAATGCTTTATAGAGTCTCTTATAAAACTGACTTAGGTTTTTGTCAGCTCCTTGAAGCATTTCTGAAATATTTTTTCATATTACTTGCTTTTTTCTACTAACTCTTAGCCTCTGCAGAAGCGCTTCTCAGTACCTCTGCAAACGCTGAAGCTGAGTTGCATTCTCTGGGTCTTTTTTTCCCTTTTTCCTAGAGTTTACCAAGCTCTTTTCTTTATATAATTTTCCATGCACTTGGAGGGCTAAACAGGCATACCGAGAGTCAGTGTAAATGTTTACAGTCTTACCTTCACTGAGTTCTAAGGCCCGAATTAAAGCAATGAGCTCAGCTTAATGACAGTGTGCAGGGTTACCACCGCATACCCTGCACATCTCTCTCCTTGCGGGTTGATGAAGCTGTTCCCGTCCACGTATAGCTCCTAGTCTACTGATGCCCAAGGCTGGTCCCGGAGGTCAGATCTGCTAGAGTAAACTTGAATCCAACACCTCTACACAGTCATGCTCGACAGGGCTCTAGCTGCCGAGAGCAAGGTGGTGGATTCAGGGTGTTTCCAGTTTAGTAGATCAGTGGTTGAAAAGGGCTGATAGATGAAAGTCTGTTGCCCCCCCAAGATGTGGGCCTGGTCATTGTAATAGACAGGTCCTCATCTCCCTGAGAGGCATTTGCATAGCTCAAGCAAGACCAGATCTGAGAAGGCCCACTTGACTATCTTGACTTCCTTCTTTGGCCTCTCCAGGTTCCGATTCTCCCCTTCGAGGTGAGACCTGGGGTGTGTTAGCTCCTGAATCTCGTTTCTGAGGGGGCTATTGGCCTCGGTAAAGCGGGGTAGGCTGGGACGTATGGAGAAAGAATTTCTATGATCTCTGGCGGCTCCTGCAAAACTGGTTTCTCTTGCTGTTTCTGGGACTCCCTTTTTAACTCTGTGTCTGCTGGCGAAGCTGCTCTTACTTTTACTTTTGGTTTTTTTGCAATAAGCTGTTAAATAGGGCTAAATTTTTGCTGGTTTTGTCTATATTATATTTAACCATGAGTCAATATAAAGGAATTTGATCTAGGTACACTGGCTGTCCTCCGAGCCCTGTCACCACCTTAAATACATGGCCAGTTGTTCCTTGTCTATAGTTCCTTCCACGGACCATCCAACACGAAAAGAGGGCAGCTCTAATTCACACAGAGATCTTAACCTCTAAGGGGTTAACTTAACTCCATAATCTCCTGCAAAACCTTTCTTAAGGTTCTGTAACATGCATTTTAATAGAGTAAGTTTTGATGATTGGATGACTTTCCTTTTTTTTTTTGAAATTTTTCTTTTTGAAATGTTTTAACACAGTTCCTAGCGGAGTGGGCTTACTTTGTGTCTGACCTACTTTTCTCTCCACACAAAACAACATTCACAATACAGGAAGGAAAAGTTAAAAGGTAACTCACTCGTCTAATTTACACTAAATCAAAATCAAAACTAAAACCAGTGTTGTTAAAGGCACACCTGTTCGTCAAGCAATTTAAGCCAAGTCAAAATCAGAACCAAAACCGAAGTGCCAATAAACGCACGCCTGTTTATCAAGCAATTCAAGTCAAGTCAAAATCAAAACAAAAACCAAAGTATCAAGCAATTAATTCAAGTCAAGTCAAAAACCAAAACCAAAGTATCAAGCAATTAATTCAAGTCAAGTCAAAAACAAAAACCAAAGCGCCAATACAGGCACGCCGTGGGTGATCAGGCCACGTTCCACTCAAGTGGAGTGGGCAAGTTCCAAAGACCAGTCTTACCAAGTTTCAGCTGTCCGGACTTAAAGTGCCAGTTCCTTCCCGGTGTTCAGCCACTGTGTTGGTCCTCCACGGGGGCGTGCTGTGCACTGCTCTGACGAGGCGTTCCACCAGAGCAAATGCCTACCCGGGAGCGCTCTCAGGATCCGCATCGCTCAATCTGGCCAGAGTCCCCCGCAGGGCTGCTCTACAGGGCAGGCATAAGCTGCCTAAGAGGCTGCCTCAACCATCCGTTAATCACCTCGCTTCCCGATCAGGGAACCAAGAAATGCAGCAGGACGAGCCGCAAACAAAGCTTCTCAGACACCGGATTTCAGAAGGAAGAGGTTTTTTATTCAGTGGGGAGCATCGGCAGACTCGCGTCTTAAGAGCCGAGCTCCCAGAAAAAGAAATACTTGGCCTTTTTAAAGGTTTACAACTTTAAGGGGTCCACGTGAAACGGTCGTGATAAATCGAGCAAGCGTGGGAAACGTGACTGGGGCCTACATGCATCAACTAACAGAACAAAAAGTTTTACAATGCTTTTTTTTCATACAGTGCCTGGGATTTACAGATAACACAAGTAGTTTAGGTCAGGGGTTGATGTTATTGTTATCACTTTTTTTAACTCCTAGGGTCAGATGGTGGTGCCAAGGTTGTCTGGCTATTTATCTTACTTTTGTTTCTCTTTCCTCCTGTCTTGTGAACTAGGCAAGTTGTGGGGAGGAGAGCAGCAGGATTAGTAGTGGTCTCCTTCCTTAAAGGTTGTGTCAGATTCTATGGTGTAAGGGCTTGATCCCACTAGACTGCCCCTCTTCAGATGCCAACTGCAAGTAGTAGATTTCACCTACACTTCTTTTTTTTTTTTTTTTTTTGAGACGGAGTCTGGCTCTGTCGCCCGGGCTGGAGTGCAGTGGCCGGATCTCAGCTCACTGCAAGCTCCGCCCCCCGGGTTTACGCCATTCTCCTGCCTCAGCCTCCCGAGTAGCTGGGACTACAGGCGCCCGCCGCCTCGCCCGGCTAGTTTTTTGTATTTTTTAGTAGAGACGGGGTTTCACCGTGTTCGCCAGGATGGTCTCGATCTCCTGACCTCGTGATCCGCCCGTCTCGGCCTCCCAAAGTGCTGGGATTACAGGCTTGAGCCACCGCGCCCGGCCTCACCTACACTTCTTACCCAGCAGCTATAAACTGGGGCTCCCACTACCCCCTCCTTTGGTCTGATTAATTTGCTGAGAAGGCTCACAGACCTCCAGGAAACATTTACTAGTTTATTATAAAGGATAGTACAAAGGGTACAAATGAACAGCCAGATGAACAGATGGATAGGGCAAGGTGTCAGGGGTGCAGAGCTTCCATGCCCTCTCTGGGCAATACACCCTCCTGGCATCTCCACATGTTCAGCAACCCTGAAGCTCATCAAATCTTGTTGTTCGCGTGTTTATAGAGTTTGATGTCCAGCCCCTCCCCTCCCCCTTTTCTGGAGGTTGAAGGGTGGGGATGAAAGTTCCAATCCTCCAATCACTTGGTTTCTCTGGTGACTGGCCCCATCCTGAGGTTATCTAGGGCCCCTATCCTAAATCACCTCCTTATTATAAACTCAGGTGTTATTAAAGGGACTCATTATGAATAACCCAGGAAATTCAAGGGTTTTAGAGGGTTGTGTCAGGAATCAGGGACAAAGGCCAAATATATTTCATATTATAAATAATATGATAGTTAGCTATGTCACACCCTCATCTCAGGAGTCCACGACGGTGGTATAAGATCAAGAAGATCTTAGCACATCTAGCTCTGAGAAGGCATTGGGAGTGAGGCTTCAAAGTTTCTGCAAAGTGGAAGGATTGGGGGCGGGGGTGGGGTAACAGATCACCTGTTCCCAAATCCTTCAAATAATCTCTTGTTATCAGGGAGATTCTTTGGTAACTTTGGCTTCAATCAGCAACCAGAATATTTCATTGTAAAGGCCTGAACATTATAAAATCAAAGTTTGATACAAATTGTCCTTCAAGACGCTTTCAAATTGACCCAAGACATGACCTCAATACCTTATACTGCGTTCAAATCTGCCGTGTCCCTTTGGAAAAGTTTTCTCTTGTCTCTCTCTAAAAGACAACCGCATTTTCCCAAAGCTGTGCTCTTAAGAGTTGGTAAAGGGACGATTTGGTTTATTCAATAATCAGATTAAGAAAGTTATCCCTTTTTTGTTGTTGTTGTTGTTGTTGTTGAGACAGAGTCTCGCTCTGTCGCCCAGGCTGGAGTGCAGTGGCCGGATCTCAGCTCACTGCAACCTCCGCCTCCCGGGTTCACGCCATTCTCCTGCCTCAGCCTCCCAAGTAGCTGGGACTACAGGCGCCCGCCACTTCGCCCGGCTAGTTTTTTGTACTTTTTAGTAGAGACGGGGTTTCACTGTGTTAGCCAGGATGGTCTCGATCTCCTGACCTCGTGATCCGCCCCTCTCGGCCTCCCAAAGTGCAGGGATTACAGGCTTGAGCCACCGCGCCCGGCCAAGTTACCCATTTCTAAGGCATCAGAGCACGAATCTTAAGCTGAGGTAGCCCTGGGACTACATATGCCATCCTCTTGTATCAAGATGGAGAAGACTGCGGAGGTTCGGGGAAAGAGCCCAGTAGAAGGACCCAACCTAGTGAGAGGAAAACAGGCATCTGGTGACGGCACCGGCCTCTAAGCTAGGGATGCAGGGACAGGCCTCTCTCTGCCTAGCCTGAGACAGGAGGAGGAAACTAAGGCATTCACACTTCTATGGCGCGATCACAGTTCCTGCAGAAGGACAGAGCCGGGGCAAAGGAATCAGACGTATAGTCCCATGCCTACCCACTTTCCCCTCCCCTCCCTCCGCGGCCCCGCCTCCAACAAGCCGCTTCCGGTCGAGAGGGGTCGCCGGCGGGCTGCAGCCGCGCCTGCGCAGGAAGGGCGGGTCAGCGCGCCGGCGCAGTGCCGCGGTCACAGGCTGAGTGCTGCGGCGCGATTCTCGCTTCCGTGAGAGTTGGCCCGGGAGGAAAGATGGTGCTGGATCTGGATTTGTTTCGGGTGGATAAAGGAGGGGACCCAGCCCTCATTCGAGAGACGCAGGAGAAGCGCTTCAAGGACCCGGGACTAGTGGACCAGCTGGTGAAGGCAGACAGCGAGTGGCGACGATGTAAGTACCGGCACGGGCGGGTTACCTCCTTGATCCTAAACCCAACTTTCTAAAATCCAGCCACCGCTCCTGAGGCCACAGCTTCCACCCTTCGTCAAACCCCCTCCCAAGATGCCGTGGCTCCGAGGTTCTCCCTATCCGCGAAAACACAGCCTGGTAGCCGGGGTCGTCCCACTTTCTCCTCCACCCGGGCGGTGCGAGGTCCCTTCCACGCGTGCTCAGTTCCGTTCGTTGCCTGTGTGCGTACGCACGCCCATCGGGAGCTGTCAAACCTTCCTGCCCCAGGAGTTGCCAGAGCCTGCAATGGCGGGAGGTTGTGGGGCCGAGGCGGCTTTTCTATCACGAATCTTTGGTCGCCCCCAGTCTTTTTCTCATCTTCAGCAAGGCCAGAGTGGTTTTCCTTTGTTTTGATAGGATCAAAGGCTCCTTCCGGAAACGGTGTCACTTTTGCAACAGAGTAGATTCATTCCTTCCATATCGGAAGCATTTCGGGGCGTTAGAGGCCGCTCTTGGCCAAAAGAAATGACCCTGAAGCTTTTGGGAATGCCATCCGCCGACCTATGGGCATACTTTAAGAATCGGAAAAGTCTTTTCCGTGGTAGATCAGACGTGAGGGGAGTGGGGAGGCGAGAAAAAGATCGTAATGATTGAGGCTGTTTAATTGTGATTTGTGGACGTTTTCCTTTAAAGACATTGCTAGAACCTAGAACTGCCGGATCTTGGAGTCATGTCGAGCATCTTTCATGAAGCTGAATAAAATCATAGAACCCTCTGCCCATAAATCTCTGCCTATATTAACTGGAGTGGTCACTGGTTGGGCGGATGCTGTCAAGTACATGTGATTCGATTTGTCTGATGCAATAGGTCTGCAACCATCTGGGAGCTAGGTTGATGACAGTACACTGCAAAGGCAGCCGCTATCCAAGAGTGTGATGGATTTCTATTAGGAAAATTGATTTTCTCCTGTTTATAAGTGTAGCAGGACGAGCCGCAGACAAAACTCCTCAGACACTGGATTAAAGAAGGAAGAGGTTTTTTATTCGGCTGGGAGTGTCAGCAGACTCGCGTCTTAAGAGCCGAGCTCCCCGAAAAAGAAATACTTGGCCTTTTCAAAGGCTTACATCTTTAAGGGGTCCACGTGAAAGGGTAGTGATAAATCGAACAAGCGTGGGAAACATGACTCTTGCCTACATGCATCAACTAACAGAACAAAAAGTTTTACAATGCTTTTTTTTTCATACAGTGTCTGGGATTTACAGATAAGTAGTTTAGGTTAGGGATTGATGTTATTATTATTACTTTTTTTAACTCCTAGGGCCAGGTGGTGGTGCCAAGGTTGTCTGGCTATTTATCTTACTTTTGTTTCTTTCTCTCTTTCCTCCTGTCTTGGGAACTAGGCAAGGTGGGGGGGAGGAGGGCAGCAGGAGTAGTAGTGGTCTCCTTCCTTATAAGGATCTTGGATGTCAAAAGAGTATTTGTTTAACTTGAGTTCTGTGCTGATTCTGTATGTCTTAGGCCCTCTATTGTAGTAGTTTGTGTGATTGTGAGATTCCACACTTGACCTAAAGTTTCGAGTTGCAATGGAATTTAATTTTGCCACATTTTTTGTTTAAGATAAAACTAGCATGAGCATTGTTCTACTGAATCTGAAGTCAGGAGTATCAGATTTTTGTGTCAGTCCAGCCCTTAGCCAGTGCTAAATGACTTTGAATGTGTTAGCTAGTCTTTTGGGTATAATGCGCACATCTGAGGGATTTGTCCCTTCTCTGACAAGTAGGTAGGTGGTGAGTTCTTCAGGGACAAGGATTGAGTTTTTTTCATCTGTATATCTCAGTTCTTAGGATATACATATACACATTTATACATAAAATCCCAGTACCTAGCACTGTACCTGGTCCTTGGTAAGGCCTTGATAAAGGTTTGTTGGAGGCGTGAATATTTTCTGTGTTCAGGGCACTTTACATTCTTTATGAAAAGCAGTTTACGTAGTTTATTTTCTTTTTTAAAAAAACTTAATCCCAAATGTGAAGTTATTTCTCTTTTTTTTGTTTTGTTTTGTTTTGTTTTTGAGATGGAGTCTGTCATTGTTGCCCAGATTGGAGTGCAGTGGCACCATTTCAGCTCAGTGCAACCTCCATCTCCTGGTTTCAAGAGATTCTCATGCCTCAGCCTCCAAGTAGCTGGGACTACAGGTGTGCACCACCACACCCAGCTAATTTTCGTATTTTTTTTTAGTTGAGATGGGGTTTCACCATGTTAGCTAGGCTGGACTCTAACTCCTGACCTCAAGTGATCGCCCGCCTCAGCCTCCCAAAGAGCTGGGATTACAGGTGTGAGCCACCATGCTGGGCCAGTAGTTTATTTCCAAATGCATCTATTAATTTGATTCTTTTCTATTTGACAAACCTTTCCAATGTTCTCTTTGTATCCAAATGGAATTTATGTTTTTTCCCAAGTTCCCAACTGCCCAAGGTGGACACTAACAGATTCATATCAAGGTTTTTTGACACCTTAAACTTCAGATCAGAGGATGGAGTTCTTCTCTCATTGGCTGGAACAAGGGCTTATAACCAGGGCCACATTAAGAACTCAGATCATGCTCCCTAATTGAGGACACATAGCAAGCTTCACCAAGCCCTCTACTACAACTGTACCAGTTTGTCTTCCTGTAGACTTATAAGGTACACTAGGGTTCCTTAGAGAACAGAGGAGTCCAGTATAACTTGGAGTCATAATACCGCATTGGAACTTACAACTCTTCCAACTCCAGGGATTTGAACTGTGATTTCTTCTTTTTAATTCAGTGTAGCATAATGATCCTACACTTGGGCATAGTTGTCTTGGCCCCACTCCCGACCGAAGCAGCTAGATTTCCATGTATCTGGAAGTCTGCTGCAAACCAGAAGAATTTTATCCTCCCTCAAAAAGCTCTATCCTAGTTGGGTTTTTGTTGTTGTTGTTGTTGTTTTTACTATAAATTGAAAATTGAAGTTGTTGTTTCCTATCTTTTTTTTCTTTTTTGAGACAGAGTCTCGCTCTGTCACCTAGGCTGGAGTGCAGTGGCGCAATCTTGGCTCACTGCAAGCTCCACCTCCTGGGTTCACGCCATTCTCCTGCCTCAGCCTCCCGAGGAGCTGGGACTACAGGCGCCTGCCACTGCGCCCGGCTTATTTTTTGTATTTTTAAGAAAAAAGGGGTTTCACTGTGTTAGCCAGGATGGTCTCGATCTCCTGACCTTGTGATTCGCCCGCCTCGGCCTCCCAAAATGCTGGGATTACAGGCGTGAGCCACCGTGCCCGGCCTTTTTTTTTTTTTTTTTTTTTTGAGACAAGGTCTCACTGTGTCACCCAGGCATGATCACAGCTCACTGCAGCCTCAATCTCCCCAGGCTCAGATGATCTTCCTGCCTTAGACTTCTGAGTAGCTGAGACTACAGGCACAGTGCCACCATCCCTGGCTAATGGGTGCATTTTTTGTGGAGATGCATTTTCGCCATGTTGCCTAGGCTGTCCTCAAACTCCTGGTCTCAAGAGATCCTTCCACTTCAGCCTCCCAAATTGCTGGGATTACAGGCATGAGTCACCATGCCCAGCCTAAAGCTGTTATTTCCTCATAACCTTTACTGTACATGTTTTAAAACAGGTCCTTTTCGTTGTTTGCCCCAGCAGCTGGAATAGCTTTATGTCTGCTTTAAATCTTAACCCAGTCTCACCAGGGCATATAATCTTTCTAAAATGCAAATCTAATCATTTTACTTGAAGGCTTAAGTTTTGCAGTGACATGCTTTAGAGCAGCACTATAGGAATAGAATGTTAGCTTCATGTGTACAGATGCTCCTTGACTTAGGATGGGTTTATGTCCCAATAAATCCATTGTAAGTTGAAAATCTTGTAAGTAAAAAATGCATGTAATACACATACCCTACTGGATATCATAGCTTAGCCAAGCCTACCTTAAATGTGCTCAGAACACTGACATTAACCTGCAGTTGGGAAAAAATCGTGTTACACAAACCCTATTTTATAATAAAGTGTTGAATATCTCATGGAATTTATTACTATTGATCATAAAGTTTAACCATTATAAGTTGGCGATAGTCTGTAATTGTTTGTTTGTATTCAATCTAAAAAATATAAAGAGAAACAGATGAAATTAATTTTAGTAATATATTTTATTTAACCTAGTCTTATATACCCAAAAGTTATATATATATATATATATATATATATATATAAATTATTATTTTTAGACAGGGTCTTGTTCTGTTGCCCAGGCTGGAATGCCATGGCATGATCACAGCTCACTGCAGCCTGGACCTCCTGGGCTCAAGTGGTCCTCCCACCTCAACCTCCTAAGTAGCTGGGACCACATATGTGCACCACCATGCCCAGCTAATTTTAAAATATTTTGTAGAGATAGAGTCTCACTTTGTTGCCCAGGCTGGTCTTGAATTCCTGGACTCAAGTGATCCTCCCACTTTGACCTCCCACACTGCTGGGATTACAGGTGTGAACCACCACGCCCAGCCCCAAAATTATATTTTCAACATATAATCATTATTTTTAAATTACTGAAACTAGCCTGGCACAGTGGCTCACACCTGTAATTCCAGCACTTTGGGAGGCTGAGGCGGGTGTATCACCTGAGGTCAGGAGTTTGAGATGAGCCTGACCCACATGTTGAAACCCCATCTCTACTAAAAATACAAAAATAATTAGCCAGGCATGGTGGCGGGCACCTGTGGTCCCAGCTACTTGGGAGGCTGAGGCAGGAGAATGGCATGAACCCGGGAGGCAGAGCTTGCAGTGAGCTGAGATCATGCCACGGCACTCCAGCCTGGGTGACAGAGCAAAACTCTGTCTCAAAAAAAAAAAAAAAAAAATTATCCAGGCGTGGTGGCGGGTGCCTGTAATCCCAGCTACTCGGGAGGCTGAGGCAGGAAAATTGCTTGAACTCGAGGCAGGGGTTGCAGTGAGCCGAGATCGCGCCATTGCACTCCA